TGCCCGCCGCCACCGCCCGCACCCGCCCGGCGCCGCCAGCCCGGAGCCACCGGCGGGCGAGGGGCCAGGCCGGGCACGGGGGCTGGGGACACCCCGGGAGAGGGGACAGGGACCGGGGACACCCCTAGGAGAGGGGACAGACCGGGCACGGAGGCTGGGGACACCCCGGGAGAGGGGACAGGGACAAGAGACACCCCTAGGAGAGGGGACAGACCGGGCACGGGGGCTGGGGACACTCCGGGAGAGGGGAGAGGGACCGGGGACACCCCTAGGAGAGGGGACAGACCGGGCACGGGGGCTGGGGACACCCCGGGAGAGGGGACAGGGACCGGGGACACCGCTAGGAGAGGGGACAGACCGGGCACGGGGGCTGGGGACACTCCGGGAGAGGGGACAGGGACAGGAGACACCGCTAGGAGAGGAGACAGACCGGGCACGGAGGCTGGGGACACCCCGGGAGAGGGGACAGGGACAGGAGACACCGCTAGGAAAGGGGACAGACCAGGCACGGGGGCTGGGGACACCCCGGGAGAGGGGACAGGGACCGGGGACACCCCTAGGAGAGGGGACAGACCGGGCACGGAGGCTGGGGACACCCCGGGGAGGGGACAGGGACAGGAGACCCCCTAGGAGAGGGGACAGAGCGGGCACGGAGGCTAGGGACACCCCGGGAGAGGGGACAGGGACAGGAGACCCCCTAGGAGAGGGGACAGAGCGGGCACGGAGGCTAGGGACACCCCGGGAGAGGGGACAGGGACAGGAGACCCCCTAGGAGAGGGGACAGAGCGGGCACGGAGGCTAGGGACACCCCGGGAGAGGGGACAGGACGGACAGGGACCGGGGACAACCCCGGGCGATGGGCCAGACAGGGCACGGAGGCTGGGGACACCCCCGGCGGAAGGGACAGGGGACACCGGCGGGAGAGGGGACAGGACGGGCACAGGGACCCAGGACAACGCCGGGAGAGGGTCCAGACTACCAGGGGCCACCCGTCAGAGGGGACAGAGAGGGCACAGGGACAGGGGACATCCCCCGGCGAAGGGCCAGGCGGGGACAGGGACAGAGATCCCCCGGGAGAGGGCACAGACAGGGAACAAGGACAAAGACCCTTCTGGGAGAGGGTCCAGGCCGGGGACAGGGACAGAGACCCCGCCCCCGCGGGCATCCCCCCGCCTGGGGAGCGTCCCGTGGGGTCGCTGTCACCCCCGGCAGCAGGGCTGCGTCCTGCACCCCCACCCCATACGGGGGTGACATCCATGATCCCGACCCCATACGGGGGTGACATCCATGATCCCGACCCCATAGGGGGGTGACATCCATGATCCCGACCCCATATGGGGGTGACATCCATCATCCCGACCCCATATGGGGGTGACATCCATGATCCCGACCCCATACGGGGGTGACATCCATGATCCCGACCCCATACGGGGGTGACATCCATGATCCCGACCCCATATGGGGGTGACATCCATCATCCCGACCCCATACGGGGGTGACATCCATCATCCCGCCCCCATATGGGGGTGACATCCATGATCCCGACCCCACATCGGGGTGACATCCATGATCCCGACCCCATACGGGGGTGACATCCATGATCCCGACCCCATATGGGGGTGACATCCATGATCCCGACCCCATACGGGGGTGACATCCATGATCCCGACCCCACATCGGGGTGACATCCATGATCCCCACCCCACATCGGGGTGACATCCATGATCCCCACCCCATATCGGGGTGACAGCCCCCACCCCGACCCCACATCGGGGTGACATCCATGATCCCCACCCCATATCGGGGTGACATCCATGATCCCGACCCCATACGGGGGTGACATCCATGATCCCCACCCCACATCGGGGTGACATCCATCATCCCTCTGTCTGTCCCTCAGTCCGTGTCCGTCGGTCCGTGTCCCTTGGCCCATGTCCCTCTGTCTGTCCCTCAGTTGGTGTCCCTTGGTCCGTGTCCGCCGCAGCCGCGCCCGCTCCCCCTCCCTGAGCAGATCCCTTATCAGATCCCTTATCAGACCCCTTATCAGATCCCTGATCAGATCCTTCATGTGACCGCACCCCAGCCCGGCACCCCCCGGCACCTTCACCCCCCTGTCCCCGGGGATGGCCCCTGTCCCCTCCTGTGTCCCCTCCCAGCTCCGTGCCCGTCCCGGGGGCTCACACGGAGCCGCGCCCGTGGCCCAGCCGAGCCCCCACGCCGGTGGGTGACCCCCATTCCCCCGAGGGGCGGCCCCAGAGCCCGCCAGGGACCCCCGGGTGACCCCGGCGACACCAAGAGGCCCCGCGGTGCCGCCAGCGCAGCCCGCTCCCCCCCCGGGGGTCCCCGGCACCCCAAGAGCGGGGGCAGCGCTCGGGATGGGTGCCCGGGGGTGCCCGGGGGAGTGGCCCGGGTGGGTGCCAGCCTCAGCGGTCCCTTTGATGCGGTGCCAGCGGCTCCACGAGCGGGTGCTCCCGGCCCGGCCCCCCCGCAGCCACCCCCGCTCGGGCCTATAAAGGGCTCGGGGTGTCCCTGTCCCGCTCAGCCGGGGCCGCTGGGCAGCTGCGAGGTGCGGGGACCACATCGGGGTGACATCCATCATCCCAACCCCACATCGGGGTGACATTCATGATCCCGACCCCACATCGGGGTGACATCCATGATCCCCACCCCACATCGGGGTGACATCCATGATCCCCACCCCATATCGGGGTGACATCCATGATCCCGACCCCATACGGGGGTGACATCCATGATCCCCACCCCACATCGGGGTGACATCCATCATCCCCACCCCATATCGGGGTGACATCCATGATCCCGACCCGACATCGGGGTGACAGCCCCCACCTCGACCCCACATCGGGGTGACATCCATCACCCCGACCCCACATCGGGGTGACATCCATCACCCCTCCCCACATCGGGTGCCCGCTGTCCCCACGCTAGGGCCGTGTCCTCCCCGGAGCCCCCACGGCCGGGGGTCTCAGAGGTGGCACTGGACTGTCCCGGGTGCCGTGGGGACGCCGGGGTCACCGCTGGGCGCTGCGTGGGCTGCGCTGGGACCCCGGACCGCGAGTGGCCGTCTGTGTGTCTGGGTCCGTGTCCTTCGGTCTGTCCTTGTTTTGTC